GTTCAGTCACTCTCGGAACCCATACGGTCAGCCCCTTCCCCAGCAAGAGAGCGCAGGGCCAGAGCAAGCTCATGAAGAGAGGGGGAAGAGGCGGTGAAGGGCTCTGGGAGTCTCGCTGGGAAGCCTCCAGCCCCAGGAGCATGATGGGTGGGGTGCCCCCACGGCAAGGACGTGGCCTTTGGGGTGATTACACACTTCGGAAGCCCTGTGTCACCCTCCGAGGGCTGCTTATACACTGTGGGCACTGGCAGCCTGCAGGACAGTGGTCGCCTCAACCTAGGGCCTCCACACGAGCTGCCAGACCTGGAGAGCAGGGCACATCAGCCCTATTTCCCGGGGTTCCTCACTCTGCTCCCCAGGGTGGTGCTGTGCTTGGGGAACAACTGGCTCCAAGGCTCTCCTAAAGTGTGCCAGACCTGAAGCACTGAACCCCCTCCATCTAACACACACACACACACACACACACACAATTCTGGGGGCTGTACCCTAACACACACGAATAAACACACTGGCAGAACATGGCCGCCCACCGTCCTGAGTCTCACGGACAAATGCCCTTGTGTCAGGCTTCATCACAGGCCTCCCCAGCACCCTCGGCCTGGCCATCTCCACCCCCACAGACCCAGCTCTTCTTTCCAGCCTTCCAATTTCCAGAAGACTGGATTCCTCAGCTCCAGGCGGCGGGGCCGGGTGTCCAACTGCATGCCTGGGGGTCTGGAAGCGAGGCGATCCAGGAGGCCACCTGCTGGGCCAGGGCACCAGAAAGCCACACGGCAATCACACTAGCAGCCCCAGGGCAAGCATGCCAGCTCCCCTCAGGACAGGCCCCCCACCCCAGAACGGCCCCCAACCTCAGGCCCAGCTGAATGCTGCGCTCCCCACCACTGGGCCGAGAAAATGTAGAGGGAGAGGAGAGAAGGCAGACAGCCATTCTGCTAGAGCCATCTCCCCATTATCCACGGACCAGGAGAAGGAGGGTCCGGGAAAGCGCCAGATATTGCCACTGGAAGTCAACTGTTCCCAGCGCTCTCTAAGCCTTCTCCTGGACAGGCCCATGGTCATGGCACGAGGCAAGTCTGAGCATCATCTTCTCCCTGACCCTGCCTCTGGGCTCGAGGAGAGGCAAAGAGCGAGGTGATAAATTTCCCAGGGCTGACAGCCTATGGCCTGTATGTCCAGGAGACCGGGGGCAGACGTAGGAGACTACATCACCCTCAAATAGAGCAATGTGACCCTTGATGAGGACCCCACCATGTTGGGGCACATCACCTTGCAAAAAACACACAGCAAGGCTGTGATCGCTCCATTTTTCACATTGGGAAACCGAGCTCTGGGTAATGAAGAGACTTTTCCAGGGTCACAGAGGTGGTCACAGGCAAAGCCAGGACCACATCCAGGACTTCTGACTCTCGCCATGGGTCAGAGATTCACGATGAGGTCACAGGAGGTACTCTGTCCCCAAGGAGTGCTGTACTCAAGAGTGGACAGAGCAGCAGGAGCTGGGGCACCATTCTTTGTCTTGTGTCCAGTGGCCCATGCAAAGCTCAGCCTGGCACCTGCTGAGGCCCTGGCGTGGCAGCCCAGAGGGTGGCCAGAGAGCCGGGCTGTCCCAAGCCTTCAATGAGCACCCTCATTGCAAAGGCCTGCATGTCCCTGGGGAGCCCGAAAGTTAGGCTAGTTACCCCAGACCCTGCTCCCGGCAGGTGAGGCCAAGGTTAGAAGCATCAGGTCCGTGTCCATGCAGAAGTGGGAGCACTCACTCATGCAGAATGAGGGAGAGAGGGTGCGGAGAGAGGGAGGAGGGAGAAGTGAGCGAGGAGAGAGAAGGGGGCAGTGAGAAAAGGGTGGGGCAAAGAGAATACAAGAGATGGGAAAAAGAACAGAAGAAGAAAAGTGAGGAGGAGATGGAAAAGTGAGGAAAGGTCAAAAGTTTGCAAGGAACGGCGTAGGAAGGAGGGAGAGAGAGAGAAAGTGAGGGCTAAGGTGAGGGCCAAGGAGTTAAAAAGAGGAAACGGGGAGAACAGGAACCAACTAGAGAGGGAAGAAGATCGGAGCCGGTGG